GTGGGGGGGGCGTTCCCCGGCCGTGGCTTGTCCCGGGAGCTCCGGGCTGCGACAGCGGCCGGAGGGGAGGCAGAGGTGGCCGCAGGCATGAGGGGATGGATTGAGGCTCGGGGTCGAGGTTGATGTTTAGGGTTTTTGCTGCCCTCGGATAGAAAAAGGGAAGAGTTGGAGAGCGCTGTGAGGTTTGGGCGAGTGGAGGGGGAGCGGGGCGCCGAGGTCACTTCACGAACGCCCCGCGCGGGGCCCGTCGGAGTCTCTGGCCCGTGCTTTCGCCTCCAACAAGTAAAGCGGGGAAACTCCTTTCTCTTCCTTCCTCTAGGTTGCCTTGTCTAGATTATAATATCCGCAGGATAGCAACTTTTAAATTTTTTTTTTTTAATATATGTCTTTTCCAATGCACAATGGCTGCATTAGCCCCTTAAAACACCAGGTTTATTGATTGTATATTTGTAACTGATTTAATCCATTCTTTGATATTTTATCTTCAGGCTCTTTATCACAGAAGGCAGGGTCTACATTGCCGACACCACTTTTCTCTCACAGACCTCAACTATTTAACTCCGTGCGCAGCAAATGCCAGGATATTTGGGTGGTTTTGGAGCATTAGTGACTGCATCGTCACAAAGCCTTTCTCAGGGATTTGGTAACACTATCATCCATACTGTTCAAATTGGGGAACTCCAGCCCAGAATGTGGAGGTGCCCAGCTCCAGCAAAAGAGTTAAAGGTCCTGGGGTTAAATCTGTCACCGTTCAGTAACGCCGAGAGCTTTATCTGTTTGTCCACGATGGCAGACACGATCGGGAACGGGAGCTCTCTGTCCTTTTAAAGACGGTATTATCCCCCAGTCACCGCCTGATAATACAGGCTCTACCAAAAGTGGAGCAATTTCTTCCCCGAAGTGCAAGTGCGGTTTCCATTTACTCTGTGGATTTCCCGACTTGTCGAGTTTTGCTGTCTTTGTACACTGGAAATGGTAGGCAGTCTCTTGCATTCATATGAATTATGCTGCTTGGCAGAAATCCCTTATTTTGTGTAGTTCATTGTTCCTTTTTCCCTCTCCCCTTCAATAATAAGGGGAGAAAAAATAAGGTTAAAAAAGAACCAAAGTTTTAATTCCTGTTTGGGTGCTGTAAGCTAGGAATGATTGTCTACAATCTAGCAATGTCTTATTTCTAGTAAACCAGTTACGATTTCACAGTAAGTCTGTGGTCATTACCGAGTTTGAAATGTCAGAAAACGCAACAGCGTTCCCATTTTCTCTAGGTATCCATTTTGCACATTGTTGGCTTGCCTTTTCAGGATTCAGAAATACTACAGTCACCTTCACACCAAGGCAACGACAGATACAATACAGGTGGTGTACTGATGTAACTACAGTTGTGTAAAATACTGGTAGTACAACTCTTCAATGTAAACAAGCCCCAAGTCATTACTGCAGGCAAGGCAACAGGAAGAACGGCCCCAGAAACTTTATCCCGAGAGCTCCTGCGTTCCTGAAGGCCCGCGTGAGAGCACGACGTGGTAAGCAAACCGTCTGCTTTCATCTCCCTGGCCCCTGAGCCCTTTGCAGGCTGAAGGCTCCCCTACCACGAAGCCGAGAAGAGGCTCCGTTTCCAGTCCTTCCCCGAGGGAACGGAGCCAGGCAGCAGCTGCTCGGCCGATACAGAACTCCCCGACCGGCGGCCGTGCTCGTGCTGCCGAACGTGAGGACGGCTGAGCACAAATGGGGACTGATGGAGGACATTGGGAGCCACCACATTAGGCATCCTTGTGCAGCCACGTACGTTCCTGGGTCCGGCTGAAACCCTCCTGAGTGCCCGTGAGCCTTTTGCTGCTTACGGAGCCTTCTAGAGTTGAGCAGAAAGCCCAGGTTTAAGGCAGAGAGAGTAAAAATCAGTGGTGCTAGCAGGGCATTCATTTGCCAAACAAGGCTAGCCTCACCTCTGGTTGTTTATGCTGCCTGGATGCCAGCCAAAGCCCACAGAAATTAGTAGAAAAACCAACTGGATCAGGTCCATAAAGCCCGAGGACTCGTTTCCATTCTTACCCCTTTGATCCAACAAGAGTATATACTTACCGAGTGGGGCCTCTCTAGCCCTCTTTGTTGGCCAAGTGCAGAAGTGGTAGCAACAGGTTTTTCATGCGATTTAATAGTTTTCTCTCTCACCGCATTGGGCAGAAGCCTCTTTGTGTTTGTTTCTACATGATTTCAGTGCTTTTATGTTCTTTTTTTTTTTTTTTTCGTAGGGCATCTTCTTTGTGGTAGTCCGGTTGCATTTCAGAGGGAGAGTCAGGGCCTGAGATTGTTTGATACTTGCAGGGACTGAAGATATTTTCAGTGCATTGGTCATAGTGAGGTTTATTTGCAGAATTTCTTCCAAACTTTTCCAAAGGTTGATTTATCCCATGCAGACAGCAGCGGGCATTAGACACACCGAATGCTTCGTTCCCTCCTCTGAGAGAGGGAGGAATTTAACCCCAAAGGATGCTGAGCCCCATGGTGTTAAGAGAAGGAGCTGCCATTGGCATCCACGGATCTTCCCCAATTTGCAATCTGCTCCAGCACTTATCCTGCAGTCAAATCCAAGGTCAGCAATCCGGGGCTTGCTCTGTTTGCAGTCAAGTGATGAAAGTGGGCATGACCTTCCCGAAAATCTTTTCAAGCACGTCATCGAAGACTCAAGGAAGCATTAACTTGCACTATTGCCATTCCAGACATTAATCAGAGCATATATTGCAGACAGTCTCCTGAGCAGTGTGCTTATGTGAGTTATATTTGTTTTATGGCTGTCCTGCTGATTTCTCCCTGATAATGAGACCCTGTGTGTGCACTGGAGTATTTGTGAGTATATATTGTAGCAGCTAGGGTCTTACATCTCTGTTGTCAAATCATCCTGCCAAAGGGATAGGCTCATAGCACTAAGCTGCATATATAAATTACATATTAACTTGTTGTATTTGCTATAACACGGCTATCAATAACGATACACCAATCTA